TCAGTAAAACCTGTTTGATTCAAGTAGGAAAAGAAAAAGAAGAGAAAGGACTATGGGAACCTGCCCACGCTCACAGTTCTTGCTTGCTATTTTAATATGTCTTACCCTTTAAATCATATATCTCTTTTTTCCATATGTTAGGTATACAGACTGACAGCGTACTCTCAGCTAAACTGCATATCAGCAAAATATATATTATAGACGTCGGACGGCTTGTGATTGAATTTAAAACACAAACAAAATTCAGAGGTATGTTTCGCATTAAGTTTTAATGCAGTGTGTTTGTACTTAACTTGCCTGACACTCTAGACTAGTGTTTCCCAGTCGGGTCCCTGGAGACCCACAGACAGTCCATGTTTTTGCTCCCTTCCAGCTCCCGTAGGAGGGAACAAAAATGTGAACTGTCTGGTGTCCCCGAGGACCGGACTGTGAAACACCGCTCTAGACTGATATAAAATTATGGTGCATTTTCTGTGTCCTTAAGGTCAGTTTGTCCTAGAGCACCACACACTCAAAGGTCAAAGATCACATGTGATGGCTCCAGACCACCTGGGAGGAGTTGACTTTGACTTGCAGCTCCTGTGGAGTTCCCAGTCCTTTGACTCTGCACACCAGCTCTGGAGGGCTACCAGCTCCTATAGCAGGTTAACCAGTAGCTTTTGGTGTCCTGAAGGACTTTGAGTGCAGTGCATCCAGTCCACACACAGTTCCCTGAGTGTCCCTGTTGTGCATTTCAGGAAGGATTACTCTGGGGAATATACCATATTTCTAATACCATGCACCGTGAAGCTTACCCAGTCCTGGACTGACCCTGGAGACAAACCCCTATCCTGCACTGCACAAGCCCCTGAGAAGTATCCCACCCACCACCAGCATTTTAAACATTTCACTCATTCAGAGCAAGCAAAACAAAAATCCTCAGTAACTACATAACAATTTGTTCAGTACCCTAACTCATGAATACAAATAATTGTATAATACTTATTCTTCTATATTAGGTTCCTGGTTCCCATTGCGTTCCAGCAAACAAATCGTCCAGTTCCCATCGCCTACTCCTTAAACACAGAATTCCATCTCTGCAACACTGAGAAGGTGTTCATGATGGACCCTGCTGCTGCAGACCTGTCCGTGGCTGAGATGGATTACAAAGGAACCTTCTCCATGGGTATCATGCCTTTTTATGGTGTTTAACTTTTCTCCTGCTGCTAACTTTTGTGAATATGCAATTTGGCATTGCAACTTATGAATACCGGAAGACATACTCTACCAGTCAAAAGTTCTTTCATTTTGTATATTTGCATGTTATTCACTTAACATTTACTAAAAGTACACTCAGTATTCTTTGCTAACAAATAAATTTACAGTGTGTTCACCATTTGAGTACTTTTATTAGCAAGAAAATGTCATTCATCAAAGTATCCTCTTCTAGCAGTTATAACAGCAGAGAATATTTGATGCATTCTTTCTACAAGGGACATTAAATACTGTTTGTAATAATGTTTCATGTGATGGTACAGTTACCTAGTACATTTAAAGTTAAAGGACAGCCTAGAATTTGACTCTGCCATCACCACACAACCAGTTAATAGGATATTAGACATGTACTGTTACATACTACATATGGTAGTGTACTTCGATTTTTGCTAATGAATACTGCATAAGAGTGTTTTTTTACATTTTATTTGCTCTTTCATAGGCATTTCATAGACAGGAGTAAGTTTACAAGAATAATATGCTTAATTTAATATGTATTATTTAAATTACTTTTGAGTCATCGTGCATACCATACTTCACTACAGGCCAGACGCTATACGGCCGTGTGCTGTGGAAGCCGGAGCAGAGCTTAAACACGGCCTACAAACTGCAGCTGGAGAAGGTGTACCTCTGTACTGGGAGGAATGGCTATGTGCCCTTCTTCGACCCCACAGGAACTCTGTACAATGAAGGTCCCCAGTATGGCTGCATCCAGCCCAACAAGCACCTCAAGCATAGGTTCTTGCTCTTGGTAGGTAAAATACACCAGTGGTGCTCAACCTTTTTTTATCCAAGGACCCCCTGTGTCTAGGAAAACATTCTTTGGGCCCCCCTGCTCAGGTTGTGATATTGTTTCTGTTGCATGCGTTCTGCAATGATGACAACAATTGCTGTTTATTAATATGAACATAATTTAATTTGGTTACACTGCCAAACACTTTCATTTCTTTTGAACATGACTCAAACAAGATTTCCTTCCACTGTGTCCACCAGCACTCTTTTTCGTTCATGATATTGCTCCTAAAACAGAAGGTGAATGTCTATAAACAAATAAAAACTAAATCTAAAGCCTATATGGCAAATGGTTCTGAAATCAGAAGCCTGACAATCATACACTTAATAAGTGAAAAGATCCTCATTTTAATACAGCCCTAATTTTAACAGACACTAGAAGCAGATCGATGTAAATGGTATTGTGTCATCCTATATCTTGCTTTGAAAAAAATATTGATATACCGTAAAAAATTGATATAGGCTACCCGTCGGTCTTTGCTGAGGCTTGAGAACCACTGAAATATGACATATTGATAATGAGCTTATTGGGTGACATCATTCTTTCAGCCTTGTGGGATTGAGTCCCACCTCTGTGTGTCTGCATGTTCTCCCCCTCCTGGCTTCTTATTGGCATCTGTAAAATTACCCATAATCCCCCATAGTAAATACACGTGTCTGTGTGTATGTGCCCTGTGACAGACTGGCACTCCATTCAGGGTGGACCCTAGACCTGCTCTTTGTGCTTCCTGGGAGACAGACAACAAAATAAAGGATGGATGAAACAACAGAGGAAGTTGCTCAGACGCAGCGTAGCACGCTTCTGAAATCGGCATACTAATATTTGCATAATTATTTCTCTTACAGATGCAAAATGAGTCCCTAAAATAAGATGAAAAAACTTTAACAACTTCTTCATTCTATATTCTTTCTATGTTATGTAAGGACCGAAAACAGCCAGAAGTGTGTGACAGGTACTTTCATGATGTGCCCTTCAATGCCAAGTTTGCATCTGAATCGGCTGATTTGCAGCCCATGACAATGATGTCTGGAGTGGATGGATTCACAATGAAGGTCGATGCCCTTTACAAGGTAAGCTCACACATCATACCTCTATCTACCTATTTCTGTTGCGAAGTGGAGTAAATCTCTGGCTGTTGTGACTTTTAAAGGTGGAGACAGGGCACCAGTGGTACCTGCAAGTGATTTATGTAATCAGGCCGCAGGCTGCTTCTGGTCCAAGGATCCAGCGTTCTCTGACGAAACACCTGAAGCAGCTCCCTAGTGACCTGGTGGATGAGACAATCCATCGTTTCACCATGGATGAATCCCTCGTCTACGACAATGTAGGCGACCACATCAAGAACGGGACAAACATGAAAGCATTGAGACTGGACCGAGAAGTACCCACTTTCTATCCACAAACTGGGGCCTCGATCGGTGGTGGGGTCGTGGCCATAATACTGGTAGCCCTGGTCCTGCTAACGGTTTGCATATTATTCAAGAAGCACCGGTGGAGCAGTGAGAAGTCAACTAGATATGTATCAGAGGAGTATCCTCTCAATACCAAGGTAGAGGTGTGCCTAGAAAAGACTTTCCACAGCATGCATTGCACTGTCAGAAAGGTCAATGTAGTCAATGTGACACAGGAAGCTTCTAACCTCAAAGTCAAACAGGTCAACCTGGAGGTCAAGCTTCATGGCAACCTGGATGATGGAACTGAAGTTTGACTACAGATGGGGGAATTTTTCTATTATTTTTAAATAACAAGATGTTTGGGTATTTTTATATGATTTAAAAAATGGAAAGGAAAGATGGAGACTCTGAGGCACATTCCTACTCTGTCAGAATCCAAGGTAGCTTATACACAAGGCTGCAGACTTTATTTGAATATGAAATAATATTATTTTAAGTGATAAAACTAACAGGCTTTTTTTTTGCAGAATCAAAGTGCTGAGTGACTCTAATGAATAAATTGGTGAAATTCGCAGACATGAAGCCAGGCCGTCTAGCCAACGTTCAATTTACAGCTGAAATAAAAACGACTGAACAAATAACATGCAAGTATAAATGCAAAATAACTAAAAAGGAATCCATACTTCAGGTACTTTGAATAAAACTCCAACTTTGTTCAGCAGGATTTGATAATTTACGTTGAGATAATGAAGTAAAAAATCAAATAAAATTCCAATTATATCGTGCATATAAAATACTGTCAAGGGAGCTCATGTTCAGCTAGAAGAATGGATTATTCATACCGTTATGCATAATGTTATCCACTCTTCTAAAAGGATATTTCTGCATTTAAATCACATTGTAAAAGCCACAGTCCTGCTCTCCAACAGTTGTTATACCTAGGACAGCTACATTTTTAATTCTTGAGAAATGGAGGATGAAAATGAACCCAATCATACAAAACCCTTAGAGACAGAGATAAACTCAACCCAGAGGACTAATTTTAATTGTATTTCAAGAGAGCAAGGTCACTGATGGAACCTAGCTGTTTGGATTGGAATATGTTTGGAAGATGAGAAAACAAGCGTGGGTTTTTTTTTATTATTATATATTTTTTTTTTATGAATTTAGAAGACGCAGTTTCTCTATTCAAGACAGCATTTAGAGAAATGTTGCCAACACATTGCTCACTAGATAATCAAGCAAACCAAATAGGATATAAGTGGCCTCTGCTCTTTGTAAACATGTCGTGTTCTTGTTATCTTAAAAGGTGCTCGAGCTTCCATGCTGTTCTGGTCATTTGAGCAAATGAACTACCTCATACCTACCACCGATGTTCCCTAGCAAAGCTCTGTCCTTAGTGGTATTTTGCATTCATGGCTGCGTATTACTGTATAATTTATATTGAACATTCACGATTCGTATTTTTTTTTTTATAATTCTGTGATCAGACAGTACACGGACAATCTGTGGACACTTTTCCACTATAGCTGTCTTATTTCACTTTGCACACATTAATGTAACTTTTAGACAGTGCATAAAACTGTGTCCAAGTAAAAGCTGAAAGTCTGTGTTCTGCACTGTGTAATAAAGTTCTGTGTTGACTGTGAGAATTGCATTTATTACATGCAAAATAATGCAATGGACTGTAACTTAAGTAACATTTTGCTGTTTTACTCTACATATTGTCTCTGCAAATATACCGTCTCCACTAATAGAAATATATCAGCTAAATCTATATCTGATTGCAAAAGCCACAGCCTCCTATACTTCTCCCCCTTTCTTGTTTTCTTGCCTTATGTATGTATTATATTTTCACTGTGTACTGTATTGTGTCGTGTACTGGTGTATCAGCAACAACAATATCATTTGTGGTAGCAGTATTGTGGTAATGGAACTGAAACTACATCATCTCAGTCTTCAGAATGTAATGTCAGAGAATTAAGTAAAGTTTCCTTCTACAACCAGCACTTTATTTTTCTTTTTCTCAGCAATTCATCTCTGACTAAAGCAGTGATTCTCAACCCAGTCCTCAGGGACCCGCACACAATCCACGTTTTTGCTCCTATCAAGAGCTGGGAGGGAGCAAAAATGTGAACTGTCTGGGGGTCCCCAAGGGCCAAGTTGAGAAACACAACTAAGGCAAGTAAATATAGTCATGCACCATAAAAAAATTACATTGCTTTAATTATGATCCCAGTTTAATGCCAGTCCTAATTAAAATACATTAAACAGATTGATAATGCTTGTGTTTAAATTTCAGCAAAATCAATAACAATAATAATCAAGCTGTACATGTGTGTATGTACTGTGTACATGCATCTCGCTTTACACAAGGCACAAGCAAGAAGGGAGGAACCATCACTGCCAACCACTGAGCCACCGTCCTGATCAGTAATGTCAAATTTAATCCTTCAATTAAGACCACAAATGAATATTAATGTCCATTATATTACAAGCTTAATATTTATTAGCACCTATATACAGTATATGCACTGCAGGGCCTCCATAATGAGCGTACTGTCAAACAGGTAAGATGTCGACTTGTGAAGAAATATTTTCCTCGTTTTCTGCATGACTGCATATTGTAATATTTAATATCCTGAAACCTTATCTTTAACTATTCCATTAGACACTAATGTGTGTATTATTTCTTTCTACCCTCTGATTCACCATTATCTCAGATAAACTTATTACAAGAACCTGATTTCACTGACCTTTGATTTGGTTTGGTTTAGTTTGGGTTTTACCAGACAGTGGGGTTAACTGGGGTGAGAGATCACTGCAAATTCCTTCTTGGACTTCTTTCAAATTCCAAATTTTGCTTTGTTAGAGATTTTGGCAGGAAGTCCGATCCCAGGATCATTCCACAGTACAATCGCATATATACTCTACTTACAAAACACTGCTGTTCACTGGAGTCCCAGAGACTTATACAGTATATGGCTGAGGGCTCCCAAACCTGCATGCTGACATTTTCATTGTTATTGAGAAACAGCTGGCCCAAGTCAATGTACAGTATTCAAACACTTACTTCAGAATAAAAATGTGATACATTTCTCCATCCTGAGGATCACACTTACTTAGCTTATGTCATGACACAGTGCTTACAGGCTAATAGGATTTATCTTGGGGGGGCGGGGGGGTGCGGTGCATATTGTGACATCATAATGGGCACACATGCAATAGTCACATCGTGGAACAATGCAATATCAGAATAACAGTATTTAGGGTACAGTGATAGAATGATTTTGTCTGATATAAGAGCACTGAGTCTTCAGTAGGTATATCTCATCCTCCCGTTCTGCATGCGCAGTAAATTGGCCTCAGTAATGCATCGATCCATCTAACCCATAAAACATAAAACAAGACTCTGACTGAGAGACAACTGAGCCCTGTGCTGTAAAAGCAAAGACAATGACTGAACCACAAGCAGTGCTCAGTGCTCAGTGCTCTGCTGAAATAAGGACGGGCTGATCCTGCCGCCAGCGCAGAGCTGGCTCAGGTTTCCTGATTAGTAAATGAGCGACAGATGTAACACCTTATACAGAAAAAAAAAAAAATGAGAGACAACTGTTTTCTCAAATGTTCTCAAATTTGTTACTCTAATGCACAAAAATGCCTTTTACATATATTCATATATTCAAAAACAGTTGCATTTAGTGGAGACAGATAAATTGGGCGTGCCATATTACACAACACTAATCTGAAATGATCCTGTACAATTCTGTCAGACTAATGCATCTCATGGGATACACCCACCAGAAGAATGCAGAGCTTCTGTTCTAGTAGGAGGCACTAGGCCCCACCTAGGACATGACCCAGGGGACTGCAGGAAACCAGTCTTAATTAAATTAAAAAAACACATAAGGATGTCTAATCAATATAGATACTTTGGAAACTGACAAAAGCATCATAAAATCACACATATCTAGCAGGCAGAAAGGTGTCTGTGGCTAATACTGTTACCTCACACTTCAAGGGTAATCTATATGGTGTTTACATGTTCTCAACAAGTCTTCTGCATTCCCCCTATGGTCTACAATAGACAGTCAGATGAACTGGCAAACTGACATCTGTAAATTGCCCATTGTGTACATGTCATGTGATGGATGGACATCCAATCAAGAGTTTTCCACTGCCCAGTGCTACAGTACCTACAAAAGGCTCCCTAGATTATCTGACCTATAATATTGTACTGGATAAGGGGTTGGAAGATGAAAGGAGTATTCATAGCTAATGTGCTTAATGCTAATAGCAATACATAACTGTAGGCAAATATGAATATATATTTTTCAAAATCTTGAATCTTTCAACATGAAAATCAACTTGAGGGAATCAATCAGGGTATCAGGGTAACTACAGCTTTGCAGGTTCATATAGTATGTTTTCGTATTTATTTAGTACAATCATCAGGAAGCAGACTAAATGTGAAGGAAATACAAAACCCACAGTAGGCTACTCTCCCGGGAATAATATATCATACAGCCACACCCACAACGATCACGTAACGAATGAAACTTAACGATCACATAAAAAAGGCTGAAAAATCCACTTTCAGCTGTTTATTTCGTTACTTTCCAGGCGTATGCCATCTGCTGACGGGCGTAGGTTTTAATCGCACCTTTTCTACGTTTATTTTATTTATTTATTTATTTTTGGGAGGAAGTTTCGACCTCATTTCCCCTTGAAAAATACTTTCGCAACTCAGACTTCAGCATAGAGGTGTGGCTCAAACTGCCTGTTGTACTTTGTGTGCAAGTAAGTGCGAGTTTGTGTACAAAATTATGTATTAGGCTACAGTATATCTATGATGCATTTTATCTTTGTCCTAGCAGCTTCATGTGTTACGCTTTGACAGTAAATTCCAACGATTTTCTACCTTATTTGTATTTTGTAAAGGTACTTTACCTGTACTGACGGAAACTAAACAGTTTTGGATTGTTTTTTACTATTAATGTGATTTTTAAACACATTTTCTAGATCCAGAAGGGGATACTTTTATTCGATTTACAGTATCTCGTGTGTAGTTTTCGCTGATGTAAATATATTTCTCGTATAACCTTATACTGGAGCTCTTACTTAATCTGGTGTATTCTTGTGGGTGGGTGGATATTTGGTTTGTTTCCTTAAAGGCTAGATAAACTTTATTCAGATCCTTCGGAATGGCGTCTACATGGGTAATGTATACTTAAAATTTCTTATCATCAATTATTTCAAAATGATGGGAAAGAAACATACACATAGAGAAACGTATACATGCGATATGCAAAATGTTTGCTTTATTTTGAGATTTAAGTGAAAACAGCCTTTGAATTTCAGAATGACTTGGACCTGCTCCTTGATTCCCCTACCAAACCAGCAGCTACAGTAGGGATGCTTTTATTTTGTCATGCATTGGACTGTAAGCCTGTGAGCTCCTCCTAATTTTCACAGACGAGTTGATTATCTACTATTTTTTCCCCTAGTCTGCACAACGAGGGACTATTATAGACAAGACTAACTTTAATGCAAGTGAAGATGCTGCAGCTCTGAGGAAAGCTATTGAGGGTCTTGGTAAGGATGTTTTCTGATACAGGGAGTTATTTTAATATTCATTTAAATACCTTTTTTTCTGCTCTTTGTTACTATTTCTTAAACTGAGATACAACTCTCAGCTCTTTTTATTTCCAGATTGCAAGCCAATCTGTACTGGAAAATATTTAGATATTTCTAGGGAAATATAATGGTACAAAAAATGTTGTAAAACAGTAATATGTGGGTTCAGACTTATTGACAATTTATTATCTGTTGCAAAAGTAATCTGTTAAAATGAAGCAATGAAACAAATGAAATTACTTAAAGCAATAGTTCAGGGTTGAGTATGGTTCATGCTTAAGGTACTCCAGGCGTTTTGAAACCAATTCATGTTTCTATTTTTTCTTCAGGTACAGATGAAAAGACCATAATTACTATTTTAACAGGAAGGACAAATAAGCAGCGTCAGCTGATATGTGCAGCATATCATCAAGCGACTGGGAGGGTAAAGTTGCTTTTTGTTCAATCTTTCAATTATACTGAAAGCAGTTTAGAGTGTTAGAATAACGGGCGCCTGCCATATTCACTGTAGACCCTCAAAGAGGACCTGAAAGGAGACACCCATGGGGACTTCGAAGACCTGCTAGTGGCACTTATCACACCGGCAAATGTGTTTGATAGTCAGGAGGTAATCCAGGCCATGAAAGTAAGTGGGTTTCTAAATTTACAAAAAAAATTTGTATAATTGTTAAAGTGCAGCATTGTGTAGGTGGAAATGAGGGTGACGATCCATTGGCAGCTCCGTGACAAAAGGGGTTTCTTAACCAAAAACAGAACATACAGGGAAAGGCATGAAAAAGGACCACGAGGGGTCAAAAAACTACAAGAATCCTAAAGTAACATAACAAGGAAACAGGGTAACACAAGGAGCAGGACTATAAAACAAGCAGCATCTCCAACACACAGCCACATAAATACACAGTAACTAGCAACACAATGACTGAGTAAAGATCTGAACTGGGGCAGGCACCTAAATACGAAAGGCAACTGGGATAATGAGAGGGGCGAGGTGAGGAACATCAGACAATCAACCAATCATGCAGGACACAGGGCGCAGGACAATGAGCAACAGTTGGAACAATTAACAAGCACTGAACCTGGAAACCACAAACTGGGAATATACTAAGATAATAACAAGGAACAAAAGTACAAACAGGGCTAGAAGAGAACAGGGCGGTATTTTTCATACGTCGCTTAAATCATCCGAGATCAGATGCCTACACAGCAGTCCAAAGACCAAGGCAAACACACTAGGGAATTATGCACACTGGGGCTGAAGGGCAAGCGACGGGGAGGAAGGCAGGATGGCCAACAACAGCTGCTGGCCAAACAGGGAGGAAACACGAAAGGCAGGATCGGACGTGCGCTTCTCTGACATCAATGTATTCTTTAATCCAGAAGCAAAAGTGAATACATATGCATTGATTTATTTAGAAGATGCCTATATCCAAAGTGACATACTATAGAAAAGGTTGGGCCAGCCCATTGCTGGAGTAGTGTGGGTTAGGGGCATTGCTCAGGAGCCAGATCACTCTGCCGACCACAGGATGTACCTGTATATCAACAAACACACACAGACAGCCAGACATTTCATGTATTCATATCGTTAAGGGGATTCTCTATTCATGTCTAAGGGCATAACCCAAATCCCAACAATGACAACCGTAACCCCTACCCAGCCCTAACCTTGAGGTTATAAAATTGAGGTTATCCTTGCGGGGACAGAAACCTGTTCCTGCAAGGTAAAAAGTTACTGGTTTTTATCACATTTTGGGGAAATCTGGTCCCCACATTGTAATAATTACAAAAACAGACACAAATACACACACATACGTTTGTATTGCTTTAGTAAGAAGTTGCTTATTTTTCATATTTACTTCTGTATCCTGGGAAAATGTATGCATGTCAAAAAGTCTGCAGTGTGAGTGCCGCCTGGTGGGTAGCAGCCTTGAGCTGCATGTGGCGATGGGGTACATTCTGCCGGGGTCTCTGCTTTCCTCCCCCTCCCCAAGAGCGTTCACTGTGGACGCATTGGTGTCTCTGAATTGCCCATAATGTATGTGCAAGGTCCAAGGTGTCCCTGCCTCGTGCCGGTGTTTCCTTTGACAGGCTCAATGCTCACACCAATTCTGTATTAGATAAGCGGCTGTGGAAAGTGGTTGTTTCCTGTCATCCTTGCCATTATATTTAGGTGGCAGTAAGAGCAAGAAGAGCTGGGCTGGGTGGTGAAGTGACTTCTGATTTATTTCTGTGTAACAGGGACTTGGGACGACTGATAATACTTTAATAGAAATCTTTGCTTCAAGAACCACCCAACAAATAAAGACCCTCTCAGATGCATATTTGGCAGGTTTGCATTCTTGTTCATTCAGTTTAACTTTATTGTTATCCAGTAACCAACCAGTCAAAGCCATTACCTCTTATATTTCTTGTTCCTAAACAGAAACGGGGAAGAAAGTAACACTTGACCTCAAGACGGAAGTCTCCGGGGATTACGGCAAGGCACTTCTCACTTTGGCTGAGGTGCGTTTTGGTGGTATTTTGTGAGACAGTTTTAGGTGTTTTTAACCATTGATCTGTAATGTGCAGAGGTTATTATTTTTTATTATTATAGGCGACAAGGGAGGACAGCGCTGCTGTAGATATGGGAAAAGCCAGACAGGAAGCCAAGGTACAGCGGGTGTGCTGATTATCTGCTACTTCCTGTTACACCTTCTTTATTTGTAGGCACTGTAACATTTTTCCTTTTTTAATGTCCTTCTTGTTTTAGATGTGAATCACGTTAATCTTTTTTTTCCATTCACTGAACCTTTTCTGACATATCCAAAGGAAACCAAGTTATATACATCTTGAATGGAAAACTGGCTTTTTATTTTCCAAGCCATTTCAGTAGCTTACACGATCTATATCAGTTTTAGCTTGAGATCCGTTGAGAGCTAAGTATATGCAGTCTGCAAATTGTCACCATTCCTGGCATGGGAACACCATGCTAAAATATGTATTCCTCGTTGTATCAAATATTTAATTAATCTATTAAATATATTCATAATACCACTTTTATCGAGTAAGAGGGTTGCCAGAATTTCCTGTTAGTAACCCAGGTGTGGTTTTTGGATGAATAGACAGTATGATTACAGGACTGTGTGCATTTCTTTTCTTTTAACACAACAGGTTCTGTATGAGGCGGGAGAGAAGAGATGGGGAACAGATGAAAACAAATTTATCGATATTTTGTGCCACCGAAGCTTAGCTCAACTGAGGCAAGGTGAGCCGTCTGCCCTCACCACACGTTTAAGTCTTGTCTTCATCTTTTTGTTCTTTCGGATGTTTCTAAAAATCTCTCCTGCGTTTTAGTTTTGATTGAATATAAGAACATCAGTGGAAAGACACTGCAGGAGAGCATCGAAAGTGAAATGTCTGGGCATTTAGAGGATCTGCTGGTGGCCATAGGTATTTATTTAACAATTGTGACAAAATTCACATTTTTGCATGCATGTACAGTAGTGAGCATTGTCTGGATATACTTGAAGAACCATGTAGATCATCGTACCCTTTATATAGTTGATATAGTTGAATTATAATGCGTGCTTTTATATAACAGAAAGCTTTAATGGTTAATATACAGTACTATGCAAAAGTCCTAGGTCCTATCTTTAAATGATCTTCATTTTGGTGTAAAACTATGATATTATGTCTGTCAAAGTGTGTCAGCTTAGCCATTTTAAAACCACTCCTAAAGTTACCCTGGAATTTGCAGCCACCACACAAAATAAAACTTATTTTTTGACTTGACTACTACCCCAGCCTTGTTTGGGTAATCAATACCTTATTGAGTTGATTATCTAATTAAGTTAAGTGAGTTGGTGGTGAAATTTAACAAATACATGGAAGGCTGGGGTGCCCCTGAGGAGAGGCTTGGGAACTGAAGCGGTTTCTGTGTTTATCTAGCCGTCCAACAAGATATAAGTAACTTTTTGGAGAACAGAAGAAATGCAGGTTACTTTTCACTGTGTTATTGTTAATTTTGTTAATTTAGCTTTTTTCTGAGCAAATACACATATGCTACCCAGAGAAGAAGCCGTGAACATTTTCTTTGATTGTGCAAGACTTTTGCAGAGTACTGTATGTCATCACTGTAATGTGTTCAGAGTAATATCTGATTGATTGTGAATTTTTCTGGTTGCAGTGAAATGTGTGAAAAGTGTACCAGCCTACATGGCTGAAAGACTCCACACATGCATGAAGGTGGGTAGGTTAGTGCAGCATTCTGCAATCAACCTTTTAAATTTGCCCATTCCAGTGGGTGCCATTTACAGCGCACATAACAGATGATACAATGCTCCTTTCAGCCTATGTTGTATGAGGTATTATTGCTACATCCTGTCACATGATCAGGTGTTTCTGGAGTCTTGGGGATCGTCTATACAGATTGCTGACGTACTGGCATTAATTTACTGGTGTTCTGTAGGGTCTTGGGACAGCTGACTCTACTTTGAGGAGAATTATGGTCAGTCGCTCTGAGATTGACATGCTGGACATCAAGGCTGAGTTCAAAAAAATGTATGGCTACTCACTGCACTCTGCTTTAGAGGTATGTCTTCATAAGTCATGGCTTGCTAATACAATCTGAATTCTGGTCACGGATATTCCCCCAGAAAATCAGAGTCGTATTAATGTGTATAATATATCAGACTAGTACAGTATTACAACACAGCTCTGCTATAAATCATAGAATAATCTAATAAACAATCTTCACTATGATTTGAAACAGATTATGCAGCCCTCTATTTAAAATAATTTGATTAAACATTTCCTTTTGAATGGGAAATGGCCTGGTGTGGCTTGCCAATTAAAAACAGACTACAGCTAATCTTGTTATCAAGTTAAATCTATAAGCACAAATATCAAAATCACATGTTTTAATTATTCTGTTTCATTTGTGTTAGTGCGGGTATTTAGGAATTAGTGGGATGGATATATAATTTTTCACTTCTTTTCCTTGAATTTCAGTCTGAAACTTCTGGGGAATATCGCAAAACTCTGCTGAAGATCTGTGGTGGAGAGTAACTGTGAAGCATGATGAAAATTCTGGGCGGTTTTCATCGAGCTACTAACTTAAGAGTAGAAACAATAACAAAGTATTTAAACAGCTGTTGTTTTATTAACTATTCACTAAAAAGTGTGCATACATGTGTCTATTTTTAGGTATATATACCAAACTTTTAAAATGGAAAATTTCATTATATATGAATTTATAATATTCTTTATTAACTGAATTGAATTTATAACCGTATTGAACAACACACAATGTATTGCTATGTAAAGGAATATGACTGTTATTTTTTAATCCAGCAGATGGCAGTAAAAATAAAATGAAGGAAATTCATGAAAATATTTTTCTTGGAAAATAAAATTGTGAAAAAAATCCTCATTAACGTGTGTGTTAATATGCATGAAAAAATTACTTATACATAATGGAATGTTAAACTATGTACAAAAGACTACAGTACATGCATGAATAAAATGTATGTGAAAAATCACATGAATTTTGTTGAAATCCCATATATTTTCCATTAGCTGTGAAAAATAGTATCAGTGGCAAATAAGAAAAATGTATACATACACCTAGACAGGCCCAGTCCATGCTCCCGGTGAAGAATTTCTCCTGATATTCCCAGATTCTGAACAATATCTTGGTATCCTCTGCCTCACCATATACGTACTTACAGAGATTTCAAATGTGTTCATGTAATCAGTTTTACTGAGCACAATGTATATGAACTTGAACTTAACTGAACTTCACTTCTTTAAAATGATAAATTAATGATTAATCTTGAACTAAGTTAATTTTTGTACATTTTCATGCACCCCGGTTGCTCAGAGGAGGATGGGATCCCCTTCTGAGTCTAGGTTCCTCTCAAGCTTTCTTCCTGCTAGAGGGAGTTTTTCCTTGCCACTGTCACCTCAGGCTTGCTTGTTGGGGGTTCAGGCCGGTTATATGTAAAGTGCTTTGTGACAATGACTGTTGTTAAAAGCGCTATATAAATAAAATTGAATTGAATTAAATGTGCAGTGGAATTCATGGTTGCCTAGCCCCAGAATGAAAAAGGGACATAATAAACAAGACATAAAAAAGATATACAAGCATTAGACACTGCATAATAATTATTTCAATATCTATGGTGGGCAAAACTGGCAGCAAGTGGAGATTGCAAGACGTCAGAAATAAGTATTTGCATAAGGACGTGTGTGTGTCAAGTGGGCAGTTGAGAAAGTCCTCCAGGTTGGCCTGCTTGTTAATGCTGATCAGGCCTACTGCAGCTGAATTGTCTGCAAACCTGAACACGGTATTGGAGTCAAAAGTACTTACGGGCGTTAGTTATGTTTAGATTTATAAGCAGTATGTAAAGTGATGTCTAAACTGTTGAAGTACACACAGATGTATGATGTAGAATAAGGTGGCAGGGTAATTTACCTGAAATATGCAAGTATGTACTGCTCAAATTATTGATTACGAAAAAGATTTTTTTTACGTTTTACTGTGCTTGTTGTTTTGAAGTGTGACCTTACAGTCCTCTTTCATTCACATCCTTGAAAAGCACCAAAATTCAACAAAATGTATTTTTCTCACGGTATATTGATTTGAACATACACAAATATATTCCTTGTAAGAAGCAATGGGAATACAGAAATGGCTGGCATCAGTTAACATGATAAGTGGCACAAAATGACTTTTATACTGTACAAATATAAGCCACTTTCCCGCACTGCAACCCAGAACTTTCCTAGACATTACCCAGAGGGGCTGTATGGTGAATGCAAATGTCCGAATCAGTCATACCGGCCAGTAAACAGACATCAAGAAGACCTGGTTTCCAAGGGGAGAAGATTGTGTTGAAGAAGTTGTAATGTTTACTGTAAAATAGGATGCTGTGATTGTCTTGGTTTGGGTTTGGATTGATTCCAGCAATAATGGGAAGACAATGACATTGACATGTGCTGTTCCCCAGCCTTGAGCCCAGTGCTGCTTGCTATACTGTAGGCTCCAGCCCCCAACCCCCCCCAAGAAAGATGGATGTGAATAGAATATATGTATGACATTTACAGTATAACACAATAATAATGTGCATCTTGCTCTGAAACAAAATCACTCAGAACAGCAAGGACAACTGAATATCCCAACATTAATTAAACTTGACAGTGTAACACAGCACACCCTGAAAGCTAAACAGATCTTCATCAACCCCTATACAGTCACAAGAAAATTAATCTTCAAAGCACATTATGGTTTTCTGGAAGTGACCAATCATGCAAGCCCTTGTAAGGTCTTACAGTGTCGATTTTAATTAGTCTGATGATATACATCCATAATGTATTAATAAAGACAAAGGCTAATAATTTCTGCAAGCATACCAACTACACTGAGAACTACCTGAATGTATGGCTGAAAATAGAAATATGACTGTAAACATAGTCTTGCATTTTATAAAGTATCAATACTTAATTTAAGTGACATGATTTACTGCAAATCTATGACAAGTCTGTCGTTTACAATAATTTAGTGGTTAAACTACAATAATAATAATAATTGTTATTATTATCATCATCATCATCATTATTATTATTATTAGAACAATAACAACAATAATAATTAATGTTTTAAATAATGATTATTAATGACTACTAATTGTGATAACAGAGCAAATGCCCAGAAAACAGTATAACATAACACAAGAATGAAGTGAACTTTGCACGTGTACAACCAACAAAGGGCAAATGGTTCTCCTACTAAGCACTTCAGCATGCCTCTGCTGGTTGTATTGGTTTCTCCATTTAGAAATCTTTAATTGCGAAACACGTGGAATAATTGGAATGAATTAATATTTTCTTATAAATCTGTATCTTTTAATCACATAGATGCCTTCGGGGCAAACCTTGTACAGAGGGTTCCGTGATCCCCTATTTGAAACGCGACAAAAATGGTTTGATAGTAAACGCAGCACCTGTAGTGCTGGGAAAAGAAAGAAAATCTATGCGATGTCAGACCTGCATGAAAGTGGAAGGGGGGACCAGAGTAGTGGCACTTTCAGTACGAGAGACTTTGCCCCACAACATGCGAACTCAATGATATGTGAAAGTAAATAAATAGTCTATTATAAACGGTAATAAATAACTTTAGCTGACAGGGCATGGTATTCATTCTCGAAGGGTTTTAAAAAGGGGGTTCACCTTCTAGTTGTACTGGGTTGTCCTCCACGCGTTGACTGGCACCATAACTAAACATTACATTGTGTTTCTGTTATGTCGAAGCTGCTCGTTAGTCTGATCAGTTACGTGGCTATCCATTGACCTTTTAAAATCGTTTCCGTAGGATATAACGATAATTAAATGCAGGGTCTTTTTAAACAGTAAATGAAACAGGCGGTGATTTTAGGAGCTGTAGTTTCAGTCTGAGGACGGAGGAACCAAACGCAATCGTAATGATCTGCTAGCATGTTACTGCACACGGATCTAAATTGATTATCGTCGGGTATAAACGGCTTGTAGTCCAGGTTAGATATTGACCTGTACGTCTTAACACCGCGGTTGTTAATTTACGCCACTGAGACAGCAGTTAATTACTTTGCTGCAATTTACCTTGGATCGTGACGGAAGTGTGTATGGACAGATAGGGAAAGTCAGCGGCTGTTAAAACAAGCTTTACATTGAAAAGCTTATATTAGCCTATTAATAATGAGGAAATTTTCTCGTATACCTAAACTGGAAAGCGATGGGCATGGTGCTGGATGCACATCGGGATTTGGTTCTGGACTGGGCAGCTATATTGGGAAAGTCTTTGCTGTCGGACGATACCAGGTCACGGTGGAAAAACTTATCGCAGAAGGTATTGTATTGATGTCGAATTACCTAAACATTTTCCTGTTAATAATTTTAATGTTATGTGGGGTATTTTTATGGTGAATCGGGAAATGCAATTACTCCAAAGGAGGAGCGCATCATTGGGACTCCGTATAAATAATTTCTTTTATCATAGTTATGGCTTCACATACGCATTTTCTATTTAAGTAGGCATACAGTTAGACCCCAGATGTGTGTTTCAAGGTATTATCAAAAAAAAAACAAAACAAAACAAGAAAAAAAAAATTGATGTCTCAATACTTTTGGGAAATCCCATGGAATGTTCTGTAGTATATATAACATTTTATCAATTGTGCAATAACAAAGTGGTCTACTATTAGGATGAGAGGATATCATTGCCATGAACAGGAAAATCAGTGTTTTGCAGGACTTATACACAGGATTTATAATGACAGCTACTGTACAATAACAGATGAAGTACAACTAGATTTAATGTTTTAACTTTGCAGTCATTTTCATTTGGCATATTTTATGTATTAGGATCAGGGGTAGTAATGGTCTCCTTGCTATATGTAAGGTTATGAGGCAATGGTGTTTTCATCTTATTGGTGTCCGAAAACAAAATTGTGCCCAAATTTAAGCAGAACACAAAATTTTGTTTTCAAGTGAAAGTGGAAGTAAGAGTAATTAAGCAGCTGTACAGATAAGGGATTTCACTTGTTTAGCTGATACTCGTCAGCAACTTTAACTTTCTGTTCCTTGGAACAATAATCATAGAAGCAGGTGCTGAGGTAATGACTATTTTATTTCTACTCTAAAATATGGCTTGTGATTGTGAAGGAGAAATGTTGTCTTTGTACACAATAAACAGTATTGTTTTACTACTGTGCAGAGTTATCTGAGGATACATGTTTGAAATACTACCATAATAATGCTACAGTAAACCATTCAAAGCTGAAACTGAGAATAATAATCTTATTAGCTTTTGAAGGGGTTCTTATTGCATAATGTTATAGTTTATTCTAGTTTAATGTTTGGAGATGAAAAAGTATTATATAGCTCTGGGAAAACAATAATTTGGCCTTCTGAGAACCATGAATTCTGTCACCATCGTGATCCATCATGGCATTAGTTCATGACCTATACTGTTTACAATTATGAGCTAAAATTTGCATGCTCTGTTGTTTGTCGATTTACTAAATTATTTGGAGTACTTCTAAAGTAAGGTGATCTTTCAACCGTCCTAATATAAATATGTTAAGAATAGTAGTTTTCAGGGATTTACCTGAAGACTGTTGCAACTTTATTGGGCATTGTGACCAAAATGTTAGCTTGACAAGTAGCATATCTTGCTCTGTGATCCATTCACTGCTTTCATGTTTAGACTGAATGCTCTTAGTTTTGCATTTTGTCCTTGATTTGAATCTCATTAGTTTTTTCTATGTTTGTAAGTACTGTATTGCATATCTCCTATTCCAGTGCTACTAGTCATTTGCTGGAAGCTCAGTCAAGCTGCACTTACATCTCTGCTACATATTGCTCCTTGACAGTTTTATGCTTGTTTGTGTCTTTGGATAAAAACATTTGCCAAATAAATATAATGTAATGTGAACTTAAATTTTTGGTTAAATAATTACTGATGTAGAGTTTTTTTTTTTATTCAGATGGTTTTTTTTTGGATGTCTTATTCGTGAGTTATGTGAGAGTTTCATGTAGAAATGCTGATAGAGTCCTTTGCCATCCCTGGATCTGGGGTAGCTCAGTGAGTGGTTTTAGTGGCCTTATACCTCAATTTTGCTCTTGCAAGCCTCTCTCCATAGTGTAAGATCCCTTTGGACTGGTGCCCAGTACGAGGAGTGCCTTACTTATTTAACAGCGTAGCATCTGGATCAATGTTACTCTATAGATAAACGGCTGCTAATAATGGAGGGCAGAATTTCAGCGTGTGAGGATTCAGTCCGTCACCTGGTGATGGATACATCAGAGATTTACTGAGGGTGGGAAATAAAACAGGAGCATGTGATTGGAACATGTGACAGATGGGATGCATCAGTACGAATCGGCCCACTTACGCGACTCCCACCTCTATCTCTCTGAACTGGTAAAATAAGATAATGCTGAACTGTACACACTTCAGCATTATGCATCGTAAATCATGGAATGTGGCAGTAAGCAAAACCAGTATAGTCATTACAATACACTCATGTTATCAATATTTAAATAATAATATAATTGTGCCTCCTTGACATTAAAGTAAAAAATTGAACTGTGATAATTTTCTGTTAACTGATCTTCAGCAAGGTGAGATGTCATTTGATAACCGGAATATCACAGACCTTTCAGCTAGTTGGTGATTCCAGGTAGATCCAGATTGTTATTTCTATCTCATCCTTTTTTATGACCTAAAAATGTTGACCTATTTAGTGCGAGTGGCTCTGTGCTCGCCCTTGTTCTGATGACTAACAATAGCCTATTTGCTACCTGAAGAGAGATTTTCTTTATAATGATACCCATTTGAGCGATATTTGGTCCAATTTTATTGGAGGTATAGCTACAGGGATTGTATTTTTTGGGTTGTTTCTGATTTTTTTTGCTTTATATATAATATATCAGATGTAAGAACTGATTATACCTTTATTTGTAGTTGATGAAAACATATTTTACTTAAAAAAAACATGGAGTTTTCTGATTTCCAAAGTTTTCATTTTATTGGACAGGGAGATTTGCAGAAGAAAAATATAGATTATTAAACTTTAGCTTGTTGAGCCTCTTTACAATAATAATCTCAGCAAAACTAGTCCTTATACAGATCCTCACACTATCATAGATAATTTATTGTTGTGTTTCATGGGTTACTTCATTAAAAATATTTTATGTAAAAGTAGAGAATAGTTTTAGTTAATCTGGGAATCCTTCCTAAAATGTCTTAAAAAGGCATAATGCATCTTCTTGCTTACCTGCCAGGCTTTTTAGGGATAACACTCATTCCTTGACTGCTATCATCATGATGATGCCTCAGCAAAATATCCTGTGCTGAAGATAAATGATATGCAACTTGCAGGTGGCTCCTGGAATCTGTAAGCATTGCATTCCTTAAAGTGTGTCCTGAATCCTGCAATGCTGAATTCATTAATCATCTGAACCTTTAAGATACATTCTTGCTCTTTGACATTTACTGAAGCAAGTGATGTAATAGACCTAGATCTTGTAACTTCAGGACAAACCTGTAATAAGGGAGTCCTTCAGCAGTCAGACAGATGAAGTATATTGTTCCCTGCTCTCTTTTTGTAGATACCTTGTACGGTTTAGTGTCCAGTCATGTATAATATTGTCTTCTAAAGATTACACAAATTTCTTTAAGCATATTTAGTGCTTTTCCTGATGGAACACAATTTGTAGTATGTCAAGGAAGATGCATATAGTATGGAATGAAAGTGCTGGAGATCGTATCATTCGGGTCAATCAATTTCAAATTAAAAGAATATGTTTTGTGTGTCACTATTTTTGTTTTCTGTTTAATTTGGCATGAATTCTGCATCCCTTCCAGAGCTCAGAAATATTTTTTGTTTATTTTTAAAAATATACAAAAATATAATACTTTGAGATGCAGTGACTTTTCTGCACCTTGGGTAGCAAAAACACTGATAATTCAGAGTGTTTTCTTAGGAGTTGTAACTTCTTTACTGTTACAGTATAGCCACATGGTTCCGCTGTAGCCTGTTGCAAAGCTCAACATTTCTATTTTTCCTGTATGGGGAAATTTAACTTTTTCACAAGTCTGTTTTTTTTTGGAGAACATTTTAAAACGGCAAATAATGTATTCAAGATCTTGATTCTTTTGCTGTGTTACAAATCAGTGAAAGTCTGCACCTGACCTAGAAAACGTTGGGTTTCACTTTGTAATGTAACTCTGTACAAACCTTGCTAGATCTGCAGCGTTTGGTTTGTAAATAACTGGTTTGAGGTTTTAGTTTGGCTCAGTCTTGTGCATATTTAGTGTCTATAATCATTTGTAAAATTCTGTATGCTGATCCAATGTTTTCAGTCAACAAATATCTTTTGTGTATGTTGATACATTAAAAGAAATATTAGTCTTAAAAGTTGAATTAAAGATAAATGCACTATAACAAATCACTGAGAATTAGTTAATTACTGAGAGGAGCACATCTGTCATTACAGTAATGACTCAAACAAATGTTGTCTAATTCAGTAATCAGACAAAAGATCTCTCTGCATTCCACATGACATGTTTCCATGGATGAGCTAGATCATGTAAACATAAGAACATAAGAACATAAGAAATTTAGAGTTACGGGACACAGTCAATTTCTGGAAGGAAGAAAAAAACAAGTTAGTTCTGTATCTTCTGTTTATTCCTTTTATCTTAAACTTCCAGGAAAATCTTTGGATAGTGACCAAACTGCCTTTTTATGTGACACACATACCAGCTATACCTTTCACTGATGTGTTTTACGACACATGAAATAAGGTTTCATTAGCAATAGAAACAAATAACTTGTTGAACTTTTCTTAGAAATATTCACATGTTTTTGCTTATCTGTGACAATAAGGTAGCTTATTACACTGGTACACTGCTGCGAGTTTTGAGGTCGGTAGTTTGTTTTATGAGGAGGCTAAGCGTTCCAGAAATTTTAGCCAGCCCTGAATTTACTTTTTGTTCAAAGGAGGAAAATACTGCATGTTTCTTATAAATACTGATTAAAGAGCTGTGCTACAAATAAACCTTAATGCTAATGTAAAGCGGCTGAAGCTTAGCCCTGTATTCAAGATGTGTACATTTATAAGTTTATTGCTCGGAAGGCCTGGGCTGTCCAGTTTTCTTCTGAAGTCCAAGAACATTAGTTTAGATGAACTGGTGTGTCTAAGCCATCTGTTGTGTGTCCTGGGGAGGGACAGTTGCCCTGTACTTCCTGAACTAGGCCCCAGACTCCCTGAGGCCCTACATAAATGTTAAATGGATGGATGAATAGCATTTTCCAGCAGTCAGTCACAGCTCCCAAAGTAGGAGCATAAAATATCAAGGCTTCCACTTTATCATCACTTCTGGTGCAGTAGGAATAGCTTCCGGGTGACACTCTTGCATCACCTGTTATAATCAGTAAATATAATCACTCTATTTCTGTAGAGTGTCTTACGATGCCAGTTTCCTGCTGGTAAGTAATGCATGATCATTTGGATGGCAAGAGTGAGGCCATTCTGTCTCTTATCTGGAGCAGAAGCATATTTATTACAATCGATCAGTAGGAATATATTTCTCTATTGTTAGCATTCTGGAATTTATATTCTGGTGGGATGTAGTACTTTTTTATCACACTTTAGAATTTTAAGTGGAGGGAGGTGACATCAGTAGCTCAGGTATGTACTGTAATACCTTGATACATTGTTACAGCATGTCATAGACGGTAAAAAGCTGATGATCCACTGGCAGCGAATATACCAGAGGAAAAAAGACTAAGGTAATAACTAAACTTAATCAGGACACTGAAACTAACTACAAGACCTCTACACTCTACAGGAAACCAGGTAAGGGTCCAGGGCCGGAAATGACACTACAGACAAACAGAATAACTAGTGACACATAGCCAACACAGGAACTTAAATACACAAACTAAACCAGGTGACGAAAGCAGAGGTGCAACATGACCCAATTAGCCAATTAACAGAGGGCACAGGACAACAAGCAACTGGTAGAACAATCAATCAACTGGCAACAGGTGGAATTAATATCAAACTTGATCACAGAACTAAGAGGCTTAAAGCAGGGGTGGCCAATCTTATCCGCAAAGGGCCGGTGTGTGTGCGGGTTTTCGCTGCAACTCCCTAATTAAATTACTAATTAGAGGACTGATTGGCTGAAGAGTCCTCACACCTGGGTTTGAACAGCTGACCTACAGGTTATCCAAAAAACCTGCATACACACCGGCCCTTTGCGGATAAGACTGGCCACCCCTGGCTTAAAGCAAACTAGGAAACCCTAACCTGCCACTAGGGATGTAAAGCAAAGACAATTAATACATAAAAGGGTACAATTAAAACCAGAACACAAGGAGGGCGAATCAAGGACAGAAAAACTGTAATAGGAAATAATAAGCAAGGGACTAAGAACTAACAATCACTGGAAACAATAAGACAAATCAAACTAGGAATGATTAACATGGAACCAAAAATACAAACAGGACCAAAGGAGAAAACATAACAAATACTGGAAACCAGAAAATCAATTGACACTAATTACCAGTGAGACTGGTTAAGCCTGCCTCAAACCCACAACCAGCAGGCTCAGCCCTCTGAGTATGCAGCGGTCCAGCAGGCAGAGAAACACAGAAGGTTGAAGGACTGAATGACAGAGGACAGGATGGCCAGCAGCACCTACAGGCCAAATGGGGAAGATGCAGAAGGAGCCGGGGCAGACAGTCCCAACCCTGACACATAATGACTCCCATGATCCTTTTTTTGATGGTGATGTAATTGGACTATTTTAGCTAATTAACATGCAACAGGATGCTTAGCTGTTGTATCAAAAGTGTCTACAAAGGGCCGTGTGGGATTTAAAGTGGTTTTTAAACCGTGAAAATAATCAATAATCCCACCTTCTATCAGTGCCTCCAATGCTCAGAATGAGACTTTTCTATTTGTTATCCTATTGAAAACAATCATCTCTTTTGTCTGCACATGTGAATGTGGAGCAGGAGTCTCTTAGCTAATGTCTGCATGCTGCTGCGGTCTGAGGGATGTGTTACGTGTGTGTGTGTGTTTTCCTGTAGCCAGGCAAATGGTAGGCATGGGGAATTTGGGACATACAGGTCATCTGTTCCCCTGTTTCTGCCAGCCTGGCTAATTATATTTGTGGACAGTCGTTACCTGCTGTGTTTCTGATGAAGTGAAGCACCTGCCGGGTGTCACACAGTCCCTGGCTAAAGCAGGCTACAGGATCCAACTCTTCAGCTATGGTGCTTCTGTCACCGGCTCACATTCAACCATGTGCAGCTTGTTCCAGTTGCCATGTATTACTTCAAGTCGTGCTTCGTTAACTAAACAAACATTCTAAGCCCTGTTACCTTTGCAGACCATTATGGTGCAAAGCTTTAAAAAAACAGCCCAAACAGGCCAAACCTGTTTGCTCATGTTTATTATGTATTAACGCAGAACACCATTGTACCTCTGTAATCCCTCTTTAAGAAGAACCATGACTCGCATGCCTTTATCCTTTATCTCAATTAATGGCACCTTGGTATTTTTGCGTATTGTATTTGAATGCGACTTTCCTGGTTTCCCCATTCCTGTCCTGGTTTTTGTGATAATCTTCACCTGTACTTTAAAATGCTTTGTCTCCAGGACTTTAAGCATGTCTGGTATAGTAATTAAGGGGGTTATTGTGTCCTGTTAGGGATTTTTTCCCTGCTTCAGAATCTCAAAGACAGTGCTCACTTGCATGGATTACTTGATGCTAGGCTGCTGTTTAAAATTGTTTTTCTGTCTCTGGAGGGGGATTCTCTGTGGTGTTCCTGGCCCGCACTAACACCGGCGTGCAATGTGCCCTGAAGAGGATGTGTGTGAACAACAATGCAGATCTAAACGTCTACAAGAGAGAGATCACAATTATGGTGAACACCTATAATCCTTTCAGCAGTAAATCTATACCTAGCTTCCAAATCATGCCTGTGTCTGAGTGCACAGGCCTTGCCTTGTTTACTTTAAACATTTTCACGTGTAAATGCTTGCAATGTATTATTTTCCTTTTCATTTATTGATTTAAAAAGTAAACATCATCAGTTATCTTCAAAACCTAAATTAACTATCAGCTGTTGGTGACTGAGTTGACAAGAATCTTAACTTATGACAAAGGATTCCCCGGGCAAGACATCCTTTAAAAATATACTAAAATAAGCTGTGTTTATGGTGCAATTCTGAAAGCTTCCTCCGGCCATTCTCATTTTTCATGGTGTCAAATCGCTAATGAAGAGTTTACAAGCAGTTTCCCCCACAGCATCCACCACATTCATTAGGGTTCAGCATACAATCCCAGTTTAAGGGCAACTTTTCCCGAAGTGTAGCTAACGTTACGTGAAAGTCTTCACAGAGCTGGCAGAGAACATTCTTACAGTAACATTCATGAAATGCAAATTTACGTTTTACAGTTTTTCTGTCAATGATAGCATTATTCCCGAACAAACTTTTAACACGATGTTTATTTTTGAACTTTTCCATGCCTTAAATCGTAATGTTCGGTAAACGTTCCTAGAATGAAATTTTCTTTGAGGGGATGCACATAAGACTACGTATCACTTTGACATTATTGCTTTACTTTGTAGAAAGAGCTGTCTGGACATAAGAATATAGTGACGTACTTGGATTCCAGTATCAGTGCAGTTGGGGAAGGTGTATGGGAGTTCTTTATTCTCATGGAGCACTGCAAAGGTAAGCTCTTCCAAAATGCATCTCCTCACTGCGTCTCTGCAATCTGCTGTCGACTGGGCTGATACTGCAAACTTTGCTGACATGAAATGAACTGAGCTTTCAGAGAGTCTTAACGTGTTACTACCGTGTTGACATCTGGAAATGTTTGAGCAGTGTTGGGAAGGTTACTGTCGAAATGTAATAGGTTACCGATTTAGTAGTTACCCTGTTAAAAATATAGTAAGTAATATGATTATTTCATCAGAGTAATCTAACTTATTATTTGATTACTTTTTGACATTTTTTTTTTTCTAACAAATTATTTCAAATGGGCTAAGCTAAAAAGTCTTAATGGCTTTGCTGACCCACACTGTCCGGAAATAGGCCAGAAGAAGGCATTTCTGCATCTCAAAGAGATGCAAAGCAACAAAGGGAATGTTATATTCTACATATAAGCTTTTTAATGAAAATAATGTATTTGGATATAACCCCCTTGTAATCACCAACATTTTGATTAGTAACTGCAATTTAATTATATTTTTTTTCTCAGTAACTGTAACGAATTACATTCACATTTATTTTGTAATTTATTTGCGTAATGCCATTGCGTGTAACTGATTATTCCCCAACACTTGGTGTGACTCAGATGTTTTCTTGTGTTCCTGGGCCCACAGCTGGCCAGGTGGTGAAGCAGATGAACCAACGTCTCCATACTGGGTACAGTGAGGCTGAAGTCCTCAACATCTTCTGTGACATATGCGAGGCGGTTGCCAGGTTACATCAGTGCAAAACACCAGTCATTCACCGGGATCTGAAGGTATGGATCTTTCGTGGCTGTTAAGAAGGTATAAATACACCTGTAGACATGTTTCTCTGTGCATGTATGTATGATAATGCATGACTGTATAAATGCTATATAAACCACACTTCTCTGCTTCCTATTTGGTAACACTTTAGTAATTTATAAACACATTCATAATGCATTGTAATGCATCCATAAAGCATTATAAACATGCCTATAAATATTTATAAAGGCATAACACATGATAGCCATGTTCATTATGCATTATGACTGCCTTATGAAGATCTCATCTATAAGGCACTATAGATAATTCTGTAGTGTTACCCCACTTTTTCTTCTGTTCATATTGTCCTCCTTGGTGGTTTTGTAGCCTGATGCAATGGACTAGAGTGAACCCAGTAGCCAGATCTTGCCAAACACATCCCTGCACCAAGCATGCACAGACCACACATAATGTATACAATACTGAATAATTATACCCTCTCCATTGGTTACAGCATACATCATATCATCCAGCCAGAGAGTTTGTTGTGTATGGAGTTGCAAACTTTAACTCGTCTGTAATATCAGTAGCTGTTTTTGGGAGAGTTCATAGCCAACCACTTCTAACCTGGTTCCTAGACCCACAACTGAATAATTGAATGAGATGTTGAAGTAATTGGATATTTTCATTTGAAGTAACAAGTTTGCGGTTATGAACACTGATTAAAGCTAGCTTGTCATTTTCAGGTTTATCAAAAGTAGGGCACGGCCAAATAACTTGTATGGCACCTTTCCCTGGCACATCATGGTGAATTTCACTTCGATGCCTAGCAAAAACATCTGAGGTGTGCTCTGTAATGAGGATGGACGTGGTTGGTGCTCTGGGCCTATACACCGATACACATTTTGTGTTACTGCACACGTTTATTAAAAAAAGTATTAAAATGTTTACTGATGTAAGCTGAACTGTACCTGTTTTAGGTTTTGATTTAGGTCTGAATAAACCTCAGTACTACTCAGCTGCAGCTTGAGGAAGTTCACGTTAGGGTATAACATTGGGATACCGGAGAATTATATTGGCGACTCGATTGCGAATTCAGCTGCATACAACTAGGCTGCTATTTGCTGACATTATATAAAATATATATGCCTGGTTACATAGTGGTAGATACTCTATTTTTTAATCATTGAAATCAGGCCTGAGAAATAAAGGTCCTTTCAGGCCTTCTGTCTTTGCTGCGTGTGTTTCTGATAGATGTGAGAGAACTTAATGCCGGCAAAGAAAGCGAGCTCACAGGGTTTATCCTCTCTGTTCATGAGGACAAATAGCACATCTGAAGTAAGTCACTGGTATAATGTTATACTTGAATGTCCATCCATTTTTAATACCTACTTGGGATTAAGGTTGCAGTGATCCGGAGTGTACAGTATATCAGGAGTGGGTGTGGTGTGTAGCTCAGGGTGTGGGATCCTTGTCCGTAAGTTTGAGGTCAAATCCTGTGTCCAGCAGAGTGAGCACATCCCAAAATGTCTGTTAAATAAATCAGTGTAACTGTGATGCTTAAAGGCTGGTATAAGCTGCACTCTGGGGGGACACGAGTCAGTCATCGATATAGTCACATGTTTGCTGATCATTGTTTGTCTGTCAAACACACAGTCACACATCAGGTGCAGTTTTGAGACATAACTTCACTGAATTTCTTACAACTGCAGGTTAAACCTCCAGAAAAGATCCAAAGTCACTATGATAGGAAATGTTGTTTCCCCTTATAATGACTTTGGCTGGGAATCAAACAATCAAGCTGAATAATTTAATTTAATGACATTTACAAAAATTTTCTTTGTTTTCTGTGTTGTCTCAGAGTATGTCCTCCATGTTCTTTTTTATTGTGATGGTCTTAACTATGTTTCAGGTTGAGAACATCCTCTTAAATGACTTGGGGAACTACGTCTTATGTGACTTTGGAAGTGCCACATGCAAAATTCTCTTGCCAAACCAAGATGGAGTCTCTGCAGTAGAGGAGGAGATTAAAAAGTAAGTCAAGTTACTGATGCAGCCCAGTTGCATGAAAGATGTTTCATATTATGCCTCCATCTAAAGTTCTCAGTTTAGTTTAATCTGCTTCCAGAGTTGGTGTGCACAAGTTGTGTATATGTTGCAGTAGTTTCATTTAATACCTAAGTTGGGAGATCTAAGCTCCTGCACGGACATGCAAATTTTATACTAATCATCTGTTCTGTACTGTAAGTAAAGATTTTCACAGTTCATGAGTGGATCAATAGCTCTGTAAGGATTTTTAATACCAGCTTATACACTACAGTCTACATTTGTTGACCCTTGACCCTAACATGGCCCTTCCTTTTTAGGTACACAACCCTGTCATACCGAGCTCCTGAGATGATTAATCTTCATGAAGGCAAAGCAATCACCACTAAAGCTGACATATGGGTGAGATATATTGGATTCTGGAATTGACTGTCACTGAAAGTTTGTCTCAACATTAAACCAGGGTGATAAACCTTTTGACACATAAAATATATTTGCATATATTATGTCTAGTATACAGAAATAAGTAGCTTTCTTCCAAAGAGGCTAAAGCAGATTTTATGAATCCTCTTCTTTCTAGATCTGTTTGCCAATGTACTATTTGCATCATTACTGTATATCAAAGGAGCTTGAATGAAGGCTCCTTGCATAGATGCAGCAACAGAATTTTTGGTGTTAATTAGGGAGTGACATGATGATGGACCTTAACATTTGTCAGTGCATTTCCTTTGCAGTTCCCTAGTGAAATGTATTGCTTTTTGATTGTGTCAAACTGTAAAACCATTCAATTTTTTTATATATACTGTATAATTGTAGTTAATAATGGTTTCATTTAATACTTTTTCTTTATTGTTTTAGGCACTTGGGTGTTTATTGTATAAGCTGTGTTTCTTCACACTTCCATTTGGGGAGAGCCAGGTGGCCATTTCTGATGGAATGGTTACTGTTCCTGACAATTCCAAGTTCTCCTTTAAGTTGCATTGTTTAATCAGTAAGTATTGTTTCCATTTTGAGATAAAATAAAAGGATAAAAGGCATAGTTTTAAATTTGTAGGCCTCCTTTTACAACTTCCTGAACATTGTATGAATGTTGACAAATATCCACAGAGGGCGAAATACAAGGGGACCTTTTTTCATACTTATTGTCACGTCCCAAGAAAAGTAGAGTGTGACATCACATGCAGCCTTCCTTGTGTGCCAGTTTTAAAGTAACAATAGCATTTGCAGTTATTATTCTTGGAACTAGATAAATAACCCCCCCCCCTGCTTTTTCCATGTTAATGATCCTGCAGACCAGTAAAAATACCTGGCTTTTTCCCAAGTTTGCTTTAACCTCTTCTGTCTTTACTTTAACTTTCATTACTGGTATATTCCACCCCCTTGTGGCAAAATAAGAGAACTTGTTTTTTTTTTTTTTTGTAAGATCGGAAATGTATTCTTTGGGATTGCTTTAATATTAGTCTGTTCCAGGGTATAACTGATATTTCCTCCTCTCAATATTAGGGTATATGTTAGAACCTGATCAGGAGAAAAGACCCGACATCTTTCAAGTCTCTCACCTGGCCTTTGAAATAGCAGGAAGGACCTGCCCTGTGCCCAATGTTTTCGTAAGGACTTTTTTCCCCCATCAACCATAATGACTTAATGTCAAAGATTTTTATTAATTTATTTTGTTTTTATTCTTTATTTTATGAGGAGTGATGTAATTTTGTAAGTTCTTGTTGTCTTAAAGTTACATTATTTCAAAGACCTGCCAGAGGCCGTAGTAATTATTACTTGTAATAATTTAATCACTTATAACCTCATATGTGCAAACTACAGTAATTCCAGTATAATTGTCATGTATGCAATTATGCATAAATGAATGGTAGCTAACTCTGTCTTGTGTTTTTCTCTGCTTAATGTAGAACTCCCCGATTCCCACATCCCTCCCAGAGCCGCTTTCGGCTGCTGAGGCAGCGGCTAAGAAAAGCATAACCAAGGCCAGGTAACCTTCTGCTCCCAGTCACCATCCCTCATGGACTAACATGGCAAACCTGGAGATACAGGCCTGTTGGTCTCACATTGCATTTGGCTGGTTTCACTGCTGTAACAGATGTGTTGGAAGTTGATGGAGAGTTGATGTCTCGCTAAATTAACTAATCATAGTTAATTTCAGGGGGCGGCACGCTGGTGCAGTGGTTAGCACTGTCACTTCACATCTCTGAGGTCAGGGTTCAAGTTTCCGCAAGCGGTCCTTGTGTAGAGTTTGCATGTTCTCCCCATGTCATTGTGGGGAAATGAGTTTCCTGCGGTTGCTCCAGTCCCCCCCCCCCCCAACAGTCCAAAAATATACTGAGATTAATTGGAGTTGCCAAATTGCCTGTAGGTGTGTGTGTGTGTGAGAGAGAGAATGGTGTGTGAGTGTGTGTGTGTGTGTGTGTGTGTGTGAGAGATGGTCTATATTACATTGTGGGGTCCATTTTTCGGTCCCCATAAGAGGAAGCTCGATTTTGTAAAAATCTGTGAATGCGATCAAAAAACTAAAGATGCCAAAAGTATTTTGTTTGCTTACTTATGGTTAAGGTTAGGGCTGGGTAGGGGTTAAGGTTGTCATGTTGGGATTAGAGTTTTCCCCATAGATGTGAAATGGAGGGTCCCCACAAAGATGTGTGTGTTTGTGTGTGTGTGTGCTTGCCATGTGGTGAGCTGGCCTCCCACCCAGGGTGGTCCCCTCCCTTATAGCCTGTGCTCTTTAAGAGGCCCCAGACTCACCACGACTCTGCTGGATCAGCAGTTATGGATAGCCGCTTGGCCCTTCCATTATAGCAGGAGAATAGCATTTCTATAAGTATCTACCTGCTTTCCCTGAACAGGTGCAGCAGTACCACATGGCCTGTGCTCAGCAGCAGCTCCTTCAGCATCAGGGATCTCTCCATACCTCCCCATCCACCCCCACCATCCAGCTCCAGACAGCCCTAGGGACCTTAAACCAAGCTGGCATGGCTCACACTGGACCAGTCCTTCTCAATTCCCCATTCACCACCTCCAGGTAATACCTGTAAACTTAGCATTGGGTGTATCTGCAACACTAAATATTTTAATGAGCATTTAAACTAAAAAGCATGTTACAAATATAAAGCATGGAAATGGAAGAGATATAAATAAATATATATATTGTTACTCTTGGGAGCCAAGACCTCACTGCAGACTTGGTTGGTTTTTTCTGTTCTGGCAGACTGCATGAATAAACTGCTGCCTTTTCATAAGTATGTTAGTATGGGAACCAAAATTGACCAACCATTTTTTCCTGTGGCACTACCTGTGTCAGGGAATCATCCCTGGGCTCAGAGGTGCTGACCCCCTCTCAGAAGAAGGCCGGCAGCCCGTTGGATGTGTTGAACCCCTTCGGAGAGGATAATTTCTCGACACTGACGAAAGAGGAGCTGCTGAGCAAAGAGTTTGACCTTCTGGGAGCAAGTAAGATCTGTTTGTTTGTTTAACAAGCATGAGGTGTCTATATTTTCTGAACTTATTTTTAAAACCACTTGCTCAACTTAATTACTTGCATTGCTAATTTCAGATTTTCTTAATGTGTCATGAGCAGTTAAAGTAAACATTTAAAGCTATTTATTTGGGAAACAAGTATATTTTTGCTCAGAACAAAAACACAGTGTAACATGAGAAGGTTACAAATTTACAGTAACACAAAACTAACAATTATATTTTCTGTTCTCTAAAAAGTTAGTGATATCTTGTTGGATGAACACCGCTTCAGTTCCCAAACCTCTCCTCAGGGGCACCTCAGACATTCCATATATTAGTTAAGTTTGACATCAGGTCAATGAATTTAATAAATTTAGTTACCTCGATGAGGTATTGATTAGTCAAACAAGGTTAAGGTAGTGGTCAAGTCACAAAAATGCATATTTATTGCATGGTTGCTGCAAATACCGGGATAAGTCAAAAATATATTTAAAATTATGTACATTTTCTTCTTATTATTTTTTTTATTGAAGTGTCTGCTCCAATTATATGCAAAATACAATGCAAAATGTATTGAAAAAATATATTACAGTACATTGAAATATACAGAATTGCTGATATACACTCACCTAAAGGATTATTAGGAACACCATACTAATACAGTGTTTGACCCCCTTTCGCCTTCAGAACTGCCTTAATTCTACGTGGCATT